TGCAGACCCTTCCCTAAGCAGTGCCAAGCAGAATCAGCTCCTTTCCCAGACTCCAAAGACGGACCTGGAGCATGCAGAGGGGAAGCCCACTAAAAAACCCAAACTGCTGACAGGTCTCTGAAAGGAGCCACCAGCCCCTGCTCCCAGCCACCAGGATGCCTGCCAGGCAAGAAAGGGCTGGGCAAAGCTGGGCCAGAGTGGGCGCCCCGCCCCAGCCACTGCTGTCCACACTGACCCAGGCTGGCGTTCGTTCTCTGAGAAGAGCCAGATGGAGAGTATTTTACATTCTCCTCAACCCTGCCCTTTTGGAGTGAAAGCAACCACACAACCCATGAGTGACCCGGCATCTCTGTGTCCCGGTAAAACTTTACTTGCAAATACTGGCAGGTGGGCCAGAGCTTTCTGACCCCTGCTGGGCAAGCACATCCAAAGCTGTGCTGCAGTCAGCAGGGAGAGGAGCCACTGTGCAGGTGACACAGTTCGTCCCGGCCACCCTAGGGCAACTGAGAGCGAGAACGTCCCAGAACTACACAGGCCTGTGTCTGATGCCCTGAAACAAACTCTCTTCAGAGAGGCCCAACTTCATCACGAAAGGCATGGCCTTTTCTCAGGACTCTACGGCACTGACCTGTAGCCTGGCTCATGCTTGAGGGGCCTTCACATGAGGCGCCTTGTAAAAAAAGTGACCACAGATTCACCAAAGACAACCTCCTGCTGGGGGGTTGTTGGGGGGTGAAGCCAGCACAAGACTGTCCCCTGAGGCCCTGAATAAGCCACAACTTGTGGTCAGAGCAAAGAACATGCTCAGAGCCACATCTTCAAGTGTGAAATGAAACACATCAGAGTCGCAGACGCCCACTCCTGCCCTTACACTAGTGCACAGGGACACTCGCAGGAATCTGGCAAGTTAGTTTTTCGCTTCTAAGTTAGTTACACAGAGCATAATCTGCCATTTCCACTCTAAGTAATCCCCACTTCTCTTGCCAAGCAGCTTCAGAGATGGTACTCCTGCCCACACCCCCATCACTTAGCCCTGACTGTAATATTCCTTTCAAATCTTTCTAACTTTAAAAGTCTCACCAATACCAAGTACACTGTCGTCAGAAGCACCATGACTGCCCCACTCCTCAAAGACCCATCCGATGTCACCACATCTGCAACCCTGAAGCCAGGACCATGGCCCAGGTCAACAGGCAGAAGTTCATGTGCACCAGCAGGTTTCTCCAGGCCTGGTTCAGCTGCAGAGACTGAATCCTCCTCAGACCCTCCTCCATCTGAGAGGTTTCCAACCATAACGTAGTAGTACTTGCTGTTTCCCTTGAACTCCTAAAGTATCTCTACACTAAAGCAGGGCTGATTCAGTCAGAAACAGCAAACTACTTTGTTTTCGGCAATGCCTGTGGACCAGGTACCATGGAATACACAGAGTCGTAACCAAAACGAATCAAGTGCTGAGTCTTTCCAAAGCACTTCCCACAGGCAGCTATGGCACCTGGCCTGCCCCTAAGGACAACATGGAAGAGAAAAATGACACAGAGCAGCAGGTGAGCAGATGGTGAAATGCACAACACAGTCACTGTCCCGCCGGAGGAAGTCCCTGGAGGAAGTGAGAATTCACACTGGGGCTGTCTACAAAGAGAACTTCACTGCAGCATTGGGCTCCATGTAGGCCCTGAGACAGGAGGGTAAGGGCTTGGGAGCACAGGGTATGGTGGGTGGTGGGTCCCAAACTGGGCTCTGAAGACTGGGGTGGGCAGTCAAGGTAGTCCCTGGATGTGTGTGGTGTTCCCAACCCTCCCTGAAAACCTGTCTATCAACTTCTTTCAAAAGCATCCTCCAGGGCCGGCCCGGTGGCGCACTCGGTAGAGCGCGGCGCTTGGGAGCACGGCGGCGCTCCCGCTGAGGGTTCGGATCCCATATAGAGACCAGTCCACTCACTGGTTGAGCACGGTGCGGGCGCGACACCGAGGGTTGCGATCCCTTTACCGGTCACGAAAAAAAGACAAAACGGAAAAAAAAAAAAAAAAGCATCCTCCAGAAAACCCCAGAATAACTTGGCCTCTCACACGTGGCCATGCTGACCGAGCACCCCACCAGACACCCTGACTTTAGAGCATGCTGTCTGCACTCTCATGGTCATTCCCAGCCTGTCAGGCTCCTGCAAGGTGCTGTGTCTTCCTTTTCTTGGGAACTCCTCTCCCTTAAATCTCCCACCCAAGTCCTATCCAGAGCACCACATTCTACAAGCCTAGGTGCTCAAAAAACACAGGTCAGGAAATTTTCCACTGCACTTAAGTTCAACTCTAGGAATATCTACCAGGTATCCTCTCACTAATCTTAACTACGAGGTCAGGTCTTAGAGATCTTCACACATGAATCAACATCCTGTTTGTCTTCCATCACGTAATTAATAGCTTCCCACTCCTAACACCCCTTCCCCTCCACCCTCCTCCTCAGATTCCTCAGTCAGGACTTAATTATCTAGGAGGAACCTCCTAGGACATTCTTTCATCAGAATCACAGAGGGAAAAAGCTCAGAAGTTGGAGCATTTTATGTATTTTCTCATTAGTAGTAAAAGACTTTAGTAACATGACTAATGTGAATTAGCATTATTCTTTCTGGCAAATTATCTGTAACTAAAACTAATCCTTATTTACTATCAACTATTTCACAAGACAGACTGTATCTGCTGTTTAACCTTAATGTTCTGAGCTTCAGTTTTACAATTTGGAAGCCAAGTGTGTTTAAATGGACGATGGGGGGAAAAACAACTACGACATAGATATATTTTGATAGATTAATCACCCCCTCCAAGGATTCCTATTATAATAAAGCATAATTTTCAAAGTAGTCTTAAGAGACAGTAAAATAAAGAGATGGATCAACTCAGCTGTGCTAAAGTCAATTGGCTCTGAATCAACGGTTCCAGTGCTGAACAGTCACTGCCTCGAAAGAACCCAGTGGACAAGAGCAACTTAAAATCTGATTTAAGGGGCCGGCCTGTGGCTCACTCGGGAGAGCGTGGTGCTGACAACACCAAGTCAAGGGTTAAGATCCCCTTACCGGTCATCTTTAAAAAAAAAAAAATCTGATTTAATATACAGAACAGGAAAGCTTGAGTAGACCGGCAAGTTAATTATCACCAAGACCTACAGTTTAAAAAGACAACCCAAACAGTAAAGCACACACCCACAGTATAAAAGGAAAATCACAGCTAGCACAAGCCTGTTTCTATCCTGGAGATGACTGTCATTTTCTGGGAGGTCAATTCTCTAAGAGTAGAGAGCTTGGCCAAATGAGCAATGGAAACAGTTGGGGGTGGGGAAAAGGACAGGAGCGGTGGCATCTCAAACCCTGATTCCTACCCATGATGAGTGGTTCTGTGATAACTCACGAGTTCTCATTTCCTGATTATAAGGTCACGCCACGCTGAGAATGGTCTGACAGGCTTCTCGAACTTGAATTGGAATCCGGATCTTTCTGGGAAGCCTCATACACCACAAATGTCGAGCTGGCAAGGCACAAAGCCAACTGCGACTATGTAGCCTCCACTGAAAGACCCAGCAAAGTTGGTACAAGGCTTGTGAACTGTCTAGAATAAATATAAACAACTCTTTTTCAAACAGTCCTCTGTCTGAGTTTCAATCCCCTACAGCTCCTGAAATACTCTTCCTCGGTCACAATACTTTTCTTCTTGTAAAATAAAGGTAATAATCAAGATAGCTTCTATTACCATCTGCACAACAGTGTGAGCATTTAATTTGATCAGAGACAAGATAAAAACTAACTTGGAAATTCCTCTCCTTTTGCGAGGGCAGCAAGAAAACTAAGCTAATTAGCAGATTTAAAAGGATTCCCTACCTGCCCCCTCCCTGACACCCCTAAGCCACCCCTTAGCAATATTCCCTTTGACAAATCATACTATGGACGGCACCTTCTACGGGCTGCCGAGTGGATGCGTGCTGTGGATAAAAAGGATGGAGTGCAGCTCTCTAAATGCAAGTCACTGGGAAAGGAAGGCCACCCGTGTCAACCCACATGCCGTTAATTCAAACGTCTGGAACGTGAAAAGATGAGACGAACGCAAGGTCTCCAGAGCAAGCAAGTACACTGGGACGGAGAGAGGTGTTCATACACCATGGGCAAAACGATCTAAGGAAGGAGAAAAAAGTAGATCCACAGCAAAGTCCGGAGTCTGGGATATTCCTCCTCCACCGAAGAGCAAAGAGGGCAAGAGAGAGACGCCCCAAGGTGAAGCGCCTGGGGATCCTCGACGGCGGTGGGTGCCAGGGCGCCATCCTCTCCTTCCTCGGCCCCGGATGGGGAGTCGGGGGGAGCTGGGGTCAAGCTGGCGACGAGGGAACGCGGGGTTTGGAGCCCGGGGCGAGTCGCCCGCTCCCGCCGAGGTCTCCTCCGCGCGGAGCAGGGGTGTGCGGCGGCCCGGACCCTCCCGGCTGGCCCGCGCGGCCCTCACCTTGTCCGAGTCCAGGTCGGGGTCGGCCTGGCACAAGCGGTACAGGAAGGATTTCGGGTCCCGGCACAGCGTCTGCCGGGTGGTGAGGAAGTAGGTGCCGCCAACGTTGAGCCGGACCCACTTGGACACGCCGCCAGGGCGCTGGGCCAGGGCGCCGAGCCCCGCGCCGCAGCGGCGGCACAGGCCGCCCCCGAGACCCGCCCCAAGGCCAGCCGGTGCCGGCGGCAGAACCTCACACTGCTCCTCCGCCATGATCCCAGCAAGCCCCGCCACAGCTCCCCTGCCCCGGAAGCGTCCGGCCTTTGATAGTGGCCTCCGAGCTCTGTCCCGCCCACAGGTCCGCCCCCGTAAGGCGCCCGTCCCGGCGTCACGCAGAAGGCGGACGTTCCGGTCCAGAAAAGCGGCCGGCCGTGCTCCCTTCCGGCCGGAGCGGGCCGCGCCGTGGTCCGGGGCACTAGGGCCCGGCCTCGGGTTCGCCGGGCTCGCCCTGTAGCCCCGTTAAAGGAAGAGCCACGCCAGCGAACGTCCACACTCTACATGCTTTTATTACAAGACTACCGAGCATATGAGGAAAATTCATCATTCGGTAACTACACCTAAAGCACAAATATTTGAAAAAGAATAAACACATTCATTAAATTATGATATGATTAAATCATTGACCAAATACAAAATTTATATAATAAAGCCAGAAAAAAAGTTGTAAAATATAGTTTACAATAATTATTCACATTCAAGGCTGTACATCAATACATACAACAACGTGGCCCTGAACATGAACTCAATCCAAATAATTCATATATTAGAATTTAAATAACACAGACTGAACTAGAGGCCAACAATAGCCAGCAAATAACCTTATATAAGAATAAAAATACAAAAGTGTATATCCTAATATCATTGCATTATTTGTTTTCATAAGGTTTTTTTTTGTTGTTTTGTTTTGTTTTTTGCTTTGCCTGTACATCACAGTTACAGCTACAGACCAGGTAGAGAATATTACACATGTGCTAACTGACTGCCACCAACCTGAAAGACAGCTAACATACTATTGATTCATCGTATTTTATGTTGTTAAGGAACGGCCACAGCAGCTCTAAATACTGTAACAATTTAATTTCGCCAACGTCCAATCCAACCTATGGTCATAATAGAGGCTTTCACCAGCAAAATGACCCCTATTCGTAGTAATTCAGCCAGGTGGTTAGACTAGGGTGGGTTACACAGCTAAAAAAGGTTTGCCTTTTGTAAAAAGTTTTCTGTACATAAGTTTGGTGTTTCTTCATATTGAAGAAATGAGCTACAGGGAAAATCCAGGTATACACATAGGCTCATTCAGTTGCCCACCATGGCCATCTCAAAGACAGATAAAACTGCTCTCTGCTGGGAATAGCTTCCTCTCCAGACCAGTTCTCCAAAGGCAGCCTGATATACAACCCTGCCACAGAAGACAGTGCCCCTCATGAGCCTTTGTAAGTGACTCCAGCCCTGATTCAAGGACACTTGCCACGTATGCTGCCTAAGAAGAAAGGGCCACACCCACTTGAGTCACCATCAGTTCACATTAGAAACAAAATGGAAAAAAGTGTATGGCAACAACTCCCACAACATGCTACTTTCACCATATTCACAGCAGCTGCAACCTCTGAAGTCTCAGCAGTGAGCACCCTGGGTCTGTGGACCAGCCAGGGTGCTCACTGCTGAGGGAAGGGTCTCAAGGCATCAGAGGAGGGCAGGAGACGTAATTCTGCACAATTCAGCCATCATCTCTGGTAGTCAAATGGCAATGAGCATGGTGCCTGGAAAAATCTCTCATACATGCTTCCCCTCAGAAGCAATGCAACCCAACTAAAGTGGAGAAATTAAGAATGCAACCAAACTTGGAGGGTCGGGACTTCAAGACAACTAGGCAACCTGCAACACTGTGGGCAGGAAAGGGGGAAGAGAAGGCCTTAAATCCACACCAGCCAGGACAACCACACTATCAACGAAAGAGCCTGGCCACGATGCTCTCCTGAAAGACAAGACCTTCTGACAGGGGTCGGGGGAATGGTCAATGCATTTCTGTTAAACCCAATCATATCTACAGGGTTTCTTTTTCAAGTAGAGCCCTTGCTCTGCTACTGATTCCAAATGGCCCAATGTACTTTGAGTCTGTAAACTTAATAGCAAATCACCCACTAAGCATGTGGCAAGGTCAGTTCATTTTTCATCTCTGCTGACTGTGCAGATGCAAAAAGTACCATTATGGACACAAAGTACAAGATTCTGAAAATATCACCAAACACTTGAAAGCCATCATAGCAGGGATGGAAGAGAACATGCAAGCATAACCGGCTTCTTGCAACGAAAATAAGAAAGGGCTCTTGGAAAGATCTGTCATAAATGGTTTAGCAGTAATGACATTTTAGCATTTAAAAAGGAGCAGTCTTACCCAAACATTCTTTGGAACACACAGCTTTAAACTGAGTTCAGAATCTGTAGGACACAACTAAGGAGGTTCTGTTACCGGAACTCTGAGCATCTAAGCATCAGAGAAAGAGTAGAATCTTTAAAATGAACAATCTCTGACCCCAAAACACCACTTCTAGGGATCTAAGGGGGGAAAAAAATCAGAGTCAAAAATCAAAGATTTATAAGATTATTCATCACAGCATTATTTAAATAGTGAAAAAACAGAAACCATCTAAATGTTTTACAACAAAGAAATGGTGAAAGTATAAAATTTACAACCATTAAACTCTACAATCATTAAAAACACATCTTCGAAGAATTATCCATGATGTGGGAAAATGCTTAAGATAAAATATCATGTGAAAAAAGCTGGATGCAAAATGTATATGTTGTATATTCCCAGTTAAGTCAAAAAAGCAAACAAATGGGGGGGGGGGGCAAGATATAGACCAAAATGTTCACAGTGGTCTTCTCTGAGTGGTGAACCTACAGCTGACTTTTCAGAAATATTAGCTTTAAGAAAGTACAGAATCACCCAGTATGCTGGCACTCTGGTATCTGTGCCCTAGGGCTGTCTCCGCAATTCCTTCAGGCATGGGCCACAAATATTAGTGACCCAGGAGGACTAGACTAGGTGAGGTTCCTGCCAGCTTTGGTACGACTACATGAACCATCTCTCCCAAAGCAGATTTTTAACAAGACTCCACCAAGTTAAGGTTTAGAATGGTAGTCGCACTGTGGTGCCCTTCCCTGGGGTGGAGAAGCATAGCACGCCACACAGGGACTGCTGCTGCCCTAGCTGGGACCACAGAAAAAGGGGAGGACACCACCATCAAATCCAGCTTCCTCTGCATCCCCAGAGAAAGTCAACACACAGCAGGCAGTCTGGGCTGATTGCGACCACAGCCTCCTAGCAGCCGCCTTCCCCTCTGAGCCCAGAAGCCCCCTCTCAGTAAGACACATGACTCCTGGATCTACTAAACAGCAGGGTATTATTTTTCTCTTCTTGGATAAACCCACATTTCTATTCCCATGTATGTATATCTTCTATGTATACAGACTGACATCCACGTCCCTGTCTCAGAACCTAAGGCACCTGCATGCCGGGTGATGGGCCGGATAAAACAAAAATTGATAGAAGTGCAGGGTAAGAAAATGCATGGGCCTCCAAAAAAAAAAAAAAGGAAAAAAGGGACTCCAAGTGAAGAGAAAGGCAAGCCATGAGAGAGAAGGGCACGGCTGTTACTAGCTCGGGCAGGGGCAGTCATTTTAGCTGTCGGCTGTGAGCTCAGCTCTGAACCCCTAATTCTGTGGTTTTGGAGGTTAAGACGAAGCTTGTCGGTAAGCCCAGGAGGTAGTGGCGCTATCCAGAGGGAAGAACGCAACAGAAGATTCTCCCCAAGCAGCCCAGCCAGGCCTCAGCTCTGCTTGTTTCCCTGTAACCAGATGCCCAGGACAGACTCATCCCTGTGCCTGTATGTGCGGGGAGGCAAGGCAGGAAGCCACTCTCGCACACACAGATGCGGGATGTGCTGAGGAAGGTAAAGCAGCATGAAAGGGAGTTAAGCCTGAACAGCAGTTCCTGAAAGAAACGGCCAAGCGACTCACAACACAGTCAAGCCTTTTCAAAAGCTTGGTGGGGGGAGGGGGGCGCAGCCTCCGCCTGAGCCCAGGGCATCCTGCTCCCTGGAGCACCCAAGGGCAGGTGCGGCAATGCCGGGCTTGAAGCTCCCACACAGCAGTAGACAAGACCAGGCAGACACTGCCAGGGACGCCTCTGTCCCTTCACCACCCCTGCTGATGGAATGCCTATCTGCACACACAAAACCCTCCCCCAACCCCCAAGTTCAAAAAGAGCCATTCATCATTAAAACTGAGAATCTTTTTTCTTGATTTGGACCTGCCTGGCACAACCAATGGGTCACTTGAGATAGGCGGGGGGACAGGGAGAGGTGGGGAGTCTTTTCTGAGTGGGCCTTTTGCTGGTGCCTTTGTGAAAGTCTATGGAAATGGCAAAGTTGTTCATCCCCTGGGGACATGCGGGTCAGAAGTGTGTCTGAACAGCCTGCGAAGGCAGAGGTACCACTCCTCTCCACCAGGGATCAAGGGCTGTCCCCCAGGTACAACTGGGCAGGGAGAGGAAGGGCCAGCCGAGGAGCGCCCTCTGCCCAGGGAGTATCCAAGCCAAGCCAAAGACGGGCACACTGAGCCATCTCATCAGGCAGCGGTGCGCGGCGCTAAAGCAGCAAAGAGAAAGACTTGGACTGGCAGAGGCGGCCAGGAGGCCAGCTCAGGTGGGAGTATGCTGTCCTCACCTCCTGCACACAGTGAGGACGCTCTCTTCTGGGCAAAAGGCCCAATTCCTATGGGAGCAGATGGCCCACAACATGAGAAGCCTTTTATATTTTCAGTGCAGAGATGTAGAAACTCTGAACTAGCTCTGAGAAATGCTTAACCCCAACATGAGACGGGTGTGTGGGCCACTGGGCACTGGCGTTCCCCAGTGCTGTCAGCAGGAGACTGAGGCATCCTGAACCTGCTGATGGCGGGATTCTCTCTGACCCCCCTGACCTATCGGGGAGGTCTGCACATTTAAACCTTTCAGGAGACTCTTGGGAAGGGCCGAGGCCTCACTCCACAAAGAGGCCAGCAGGCCGTCTGCTCTGGCTGGCGTCTCCACAGCACCTTCTTGTCTCACCCAGGCACGGGGCAGGATTCTCTCATACAACCACCCAGCTGGGTGCCAAGTGGTCACACTTGTGACATCGCCCCTCCCGCACATGAGCTCGATTTCCAGCCCAGAGATGGACACTGCTCAGTGGGACAAGGAAGCTGAGCCCCTGATGGGGCCTCCAACCGCAGCAGCCTGATCCGCTCATCACCTTGATGCCCTGCTTACTGCTCACCACGCGAAGTGTGCTGCCAGCAAGGACCACAGAATTCTGCCACCACCAGAGCTATGCCAGGAGGCACCTGAGGGGCCCGGCCGCAGCTCATGGGCCATAAATTAGGGACACAAGAAAGAGAGCACGTACAAAAGCAAAGAACCCTCCCACCCATAGGGCCAGTGGCCATCCCCACAGAGGTGTGTACAAGCTCCCTCCCTCGTGAAGAGTTCCATCGTCATCTGGGGGGCAGAAAGAGCCAAAGACACACTGGGTCCCTTTGGCCCCAGCAGGACCAGCAGTGATCAGGGTGCGAGAACAGAGTGCAGCGAATGGTTCTGATGCTGGGTTCTGAAGCAGGCAACACCAGGTCTGTCAATTGGTCTGGGCAGGAACGGGCTGACATGCATGGAGCTGGGTTCCACAGCACCGAGGACACATGGAAGCCTCCACAGAGCACAGAGAGCAAGCAAAGCAACCCTGAATTCCTTTTTGTTATTGGTTTTGTTCTTTGTGTGGGTGGGTATTTTTTCCTTCTCTTTTAAATAAAAAAGCTGCAAGGTTTCCGCTGTCTGCGTTCCCCTTGAGATGGTTGGCAGGTGGTCTGGAAGCGTCCCGGATGGCAGCCGAGTGCGCTGGAGCAGGTGTCCTGGCAGCAAAGAGCAGCCCAGCTGTGGGCCGGGTCACTGCACGGCAGCGTCCTGGTGGCTCTGGTATCGCTGCCTCCAAACCTCGTGGATCTTTCTGCACCACTTGTGAGCATTCCCACTTGGATCCATCAGGTAATACGTCCTGTTAGGCTGCAGAGACAGAAGCCATTTAATGTTCTCAAGGGAGTCCCACCAAAACCCACCGACCTATGAGGGGTAGGCACCATCCCATCCTGCTGCCAGCCACTTCAAGTACCTTCTGGAAGCATGTGACAGTGGGTTTTGTCACTCCACACATGTGCAGAAATTAAACATACAGGCAAATGACCCACCTTTCTACGTCACTCCCAAACTGAAAGCAAGCACAGAGTGTCTCTCGGCCCACCTTGGGACTGAGCCATTAATGTGGGGGGCTCTGGGACATGGGAAAGGGGGAGACAGCTGTCCTGGATGACCCCAGCTGCTCCCTCTGGTCAAACACTTGGATGCTTCCAACAGAGGCGCAAAGGCCTCTGACTACCCCATAAATGAGAATCCTTATGAACAGACTCACCGTGTGGACAAAGAAAGTTTTAAAGTTCTTAGCCTCTGGTCGGAGCTCTTGTGACCATGGAATTTCTCCTTTCAGGACTTTGTTGACAGGATCCACATAGTATAAGTGTGGCCCTTCTGTGAGCAACAACTGTCGTCGTCGTGCAAATAAGCCCTGATACAAAAACAGAAAAAAAGACCCTGCTCATGAATGCTCAGAAGCAGGTACCGACAGCACTGCTGCCTCTGAAGCAGCACTGTCCCTTAAAGTAGTGCAGGGCACAGGGACCACCACCAGCCCAGGCTCTCAGGTCAGTGAGATGGCAGCACAGACCCTGCTGCTGAGCTAATACAGACGGCTCTGTGCACCGTCAGGGCCTCTGCTTCCCTAACCCTCAGCTCCTCTCTGAGGCCCTCGGTGGCCAGGCTAAGCCCACCTGCGTGGAGATTCTCATTCCTGGAGGAGGCATGGCCAAGAATGAGGTCAGAAGCCTGCGCTTAAAAGGGGCCCATGTCAGCACATGGAGTTTGATATTTTCTGGCACAATTAATCCATTTAATACACAAAACATAATAAAAAGCACCCCCTAAATGTTTTTAGAATACTTCTAATGAAGTATTACACTGCACACTGGGATGTCAGACATGGCCACCTCACCCTGACAGGAGGCTGCTTGGGGATCAGAACGAGGCTCCAGGTCAGTCTCAAGGCTGCAGCTCTGCTCTTCCGCTCACTGCCTGCCTGTGAGCTCCCAAGCTGCTTCCCCGACTGGAATACATCTTCCTTAGCTATTAAATCTATAGATAATCTCTAAAAAGTGAACCAAGATGAAGGATACTACGTCCAACAAGTCCTGGCAGGAACCAGAAGAAGGCGGCCCAGCCGCGAGTCAGAGCGGGAGGAGGACGGAGACCCACGTGACAGACAGCAGGAACTGACTCACCTTTCGCTTATCCACGGGGCCCATTTTTAGTATTAAATTATTTTCTACAAACTGGTGCCTACAAGAAGAAGAAAACAAGAATGAGACATTCACATGAGAATCACAGACAAGAATTCTCCAAACTCCCTCAGGCACAGCAACATTAACTGCTGGCCCTCGCAGCTCCAGCCTTGCTTCAGCATCAGGAGGAAACTCCAAACATAACTGAGCACATAAGCGCCCACCGCCACAAGGAACATTTAGTCCATATTTGGACCAGAGTCTACAGACACCAGAAATAGGGCCTGTTGTTATCTCCCAGCTGGCAGCGTCCACACAGCAGTGCCACAGAACTGAGCAGGTAACACACATGCCATCATCACCCTAACAAAACAGCAGCAAGAGGCACAGGGCTCTCCAAAAGGTGGATGCCACTAGGACAAGACTGTCATCCTTCAGTCACCACCCCCAGCTGAGACCCCTGGATTCAGGGCTCAGAATCCACTGAGTAGTTTAGAACCACAAGTCTCTGAAAGACCTCAGCTGGACTTGGCTTAAGAACACCTTATCTGTATTTCTACCAAAGTAAGAAAAGATTTTTATGCAAATGTGGCAGGAATTTGGTAATAAAACACTTTTATTCAAATATGGAAGGAATTTCGAAGAGAAAGTTTCAAATACAGGCTTTGATTTTAACACACATTGTTAACAAGTACTCATTTTTGATTCCTAAGAGTTTAAAAGATTGTTTTAATGCCCACAGGTCACCTCATTTGGTGAAAGCTGACAGTTACTGGTTTATGTTCCATCTGCTTTTACTGAAATTCCTGATCTGAGGTTCTACCATAGAAATGCTGTTTTATATTTGAAAAAGGCTTAAGATAAGAATGTAAATATCTAAGCACATCCAAAGGCTTCCCACACACCCCTCAGGGCCAGGAGCAATTGTATGCACACTGGCTGAGCTGATGGAGTGACATTCTCCCACCTGCCAAGCTTAACTGGCCTCACAGTCTGACCCACCCTAACCTTACCAGAACAATACCCAGGCCACAGAGCCACCTGGGCCCTATGCGGCCTCATCACTGAGGGCCTAGCCTCAAGTACACAAACTACACAGCACCATGTGGGTTTTAAAAACAACTAGGAGGGCCGGCCCGGTGGCGCACTGGATAGTGCGCCGCTTGGAAAGCGCGGCGGCGCTCCCGCCCGAGGGTTCGGATCCCACATGCAGACCAGTTCCGCTCGCTGGCTGAGCGAGGCGCGGGAGCGACGCCGAGGGTTGCAATCCCATTGCCGGTCCCCGGTCCGGTGCGGGGCAACACTGAGGGTTGCGATCCGTTGCCGGACACGGAAAAAAAAGACAAAAAGACAAAAAAAAAAAAAAAAACAACAACTAGGAGTGCTGGCCTGTTAGCTCACTTGGTTGGAGCCTGGTGTTGATGACAAACACCAAGGTCAAGGGTTCAGATCCCCTACTGGCTAGCCACCAAAAATAAGCAAATAAATAAAAATATAAATAAATAAAAACAACTAGGCATCTGAAGGAGAAGTGTGCTTTGGCCTATATGAGGGAATGCATAATACCTCCCTCCCAAACAAGGACTTAAGACAAAGAGAAAGAAATCAAGGAGATTTTTGAAAAGATGTAATGAAGAGTATCTACTGCAGCACAGAAAGTACAAAGCATGAAAATAAATATGTGGATAAAACCATGGAGCCAACAGGAAGCCCATGCCGACAGATGGGCCTTGCCATGCTGGGCTGAGGGCACTGGAGGGAGGTCCCTCCTGGTGCCCTCATGATGCACCAACGTTAAGTGTCAGCCAGATGAGAGAAAGAGGGTTTAAATACTAAATCAAGCAAGAGAAGAACTGGAAGAAAAAGATAATGGGATATTCCTCAAGCCTACATGGGAGGGGTAACAGAAGCTGAAAGCAAAAGCAGCCCCCACACACCAAGCGACAGACCTGACTCCATGGGAACAAAACCTCTAACTACAAAAATAACCAAGATAACAGGCAAGCAGGCTGTAAAAGATTTTCAGCAAATACAACCTACAAAGTCCAACATCGTACTCCACAGAACGAACACTAAGTGCCACTGAAGGCTTAAACCTCCACAGAACTTTGAACAAAGGCCACAAACTGGAAATCCCCCAAACAGGAATTAGGTGACATGAAAAAATTCTCAATGGCCCTAAATAAGGAAATGGAATTGAGCCCAGTCTCACTGTTCCACTGGGACATGCTGCTATGTGAGTACTGTTCTCAGTTGTTGCCTGTGACCTGAAATGAGATGTACTGAAAAAGCCATTTGGAAATACGTACTGAGAAGTAACCTCACTTCCAGAAATCCACCCTAAGAAAGAAAAAAGACAAGGCGCACAGAGATGTTCACAGCAGGAGTACTGACACCAGTGAAACCAAAGCTCTGTACGTGGCTCAGTGATAGTTCTCACACCAGAGAGAGGCAGGCAAACCCCTTCCTATCCCCTGCAGAGTGAGGATCCCACAAGACAGGCACCTGCCCCTCTGCTCCCAGCCTCTCCCATGGGTGAAAACAATCCCTGCACTGTGGCCCAGGAGTCAGACCGCCCAGGGGTGGACAGAGACAGGCCAATGAAGTACCATTTGTAGCATAAGCACCAGAGCCCATTCATTTAGCTAATTAGCCAATTAGCTTACAACATGTTCCCAATTATGTATCTACTTCGAAAAGTGTAAGTGCTCAAAGGAACAATTTTGATTTTTTACTTCCCCAAACAGGCAACCTCTCCCACAACCTCTGCAGGGGCTGAGGGTCACATGACTTGTCCACAGTCCATTCACAAGGGGCAATCACATAAAAGCTCCCATTTCCCAATTCCAATGCCAAGGCTCTCCTCCTCTTCCATCCCCCTATCTAGACCCCCAAAAGACCGCATTCAAGGATCCAAGCCCAGGCCAGCAGCAGAGCACACAGAGCCCCTGAGAGCACAGCAAGGCTGCCCATGCAGAGGTGGCTTTTCTGACCCTTCAAAGGTCCTGCCACACTTGGCCTCTACTCAGTGAGGAAAGAGCCAGGGGTGGTGGCTGATGGGCCACTGACCTGCTCTAAAATGCCAGCTTCCCAACCTCCAGATCACAGCACTCTCAAACTTATGGAAGACCCCAAAGAGCTTTCTATCTCTGGGTTATTTTGATCAATATGCTCTATGTGGAAAATTTAAACCGAGACATTTTCAAATACTTTAACTCATTAAAAAATAAATCCATTACACATTAATAACATCTTGATTAAAAGATAACTATTTTCCCAAACAAAAATAATTAATGAGGAGAGTGGCATTGCTGCACACTCTGCCAAACTTGGTGATGTCTTTCTTCTCAGAAGAGAGCTGGGTGCCACATCTGCCCATGCCTGCACCCTGTGGCAATCTGTCATTGAGGCTCAGGTATGTGGAAAAAACCCAGCCCCACTCAGACATATAATTGGAAAAGGGAGGAGTATTTTTATAGCCTTTTAAGATACTTGTGGATATTCTTCTTTGATAATACATCAAAACTCAACGAGTAGTAGTTTCTTAAAGGTTAAATGAAAGATGGAACTTGAATCCATAACAATGAATTTTTCACACTCTGTGACATTAAAATCCTTCAATCTACTTGCACTTTGAACGGATCTTCTACTCTTAATGGTCTTACAGTGCCATATGTCGGTTATCTGGAAAATACTGGTTCACTGAGTTATGGAGAGCTTCCAAGTGTTGCAATATTTTCACTCTATAATATCAACAAATCAATTATTAATATCGCTACATATCTCCTCAAATAAAGTTTTTGAAGCACTGGGAAGATGTCAAGTTCACAGTGACAGAAAGTCTTCCAAAATTCCAATTTTCACTCAAAGGTTTCAATTTTATAATGGATATAAATACTAGAAGCTATTTTCTTCCAAGTGTCAAGCTCATTTTGATCATTTCAAGAAAAATGTTGGCCAAACAGCCACGTCTGCATAAACGGTTTGCCTGTAAGTCTGACTTCCCCATGAAGACAGCACCCCATGAGGGAACAGCCAGTGATGACACCAGCTCCTAAGGATGGCAGTCACCCTCGGGTGTACAGCACAGGGGCTTTACTTCCCATTCTGTCACACAGAGCACTGATAAAAGTCATCACTTTAAATGAATATTCAGAAGTGAAATGGGCTTCTTTTCTCCTCCCTCTTGCTGTGAGCAAGGGCTGTGCACAGCTGATGTCGCCTGCTGCTGCTGGACGCCTTGGCCTCGCAGCGTGCTCAGATGTTCCACGCCATCAGTGCAAACAAGAACACATTTGTTCCAGAGCCAATCATGAAGATGCAAACAGCTACTCCACACTTGAACTCTTCTAGCACCATCTCTGCTGGGGGTGACACCCGAGGAGTCCAGTCCTGTTTGCAGATTCATCCATTTGTAAGGCAAAGGCGCAACTCAGCAGCAGAGACATTAAATCCCTCTTCCTGTGTGCAGTCACATCTTTAATGCATGGAGACACTGTCAGTCAGCCACCGAGTGGCCCCTCCAGCCTCCACAAGCAGCTTTTCTATATGAGCTTCAGTGGCTTTTTAATTTCTAATTTCAAAAGCTGTAACAAACAATATTTGGCTTTTAAAAAGCTCATGACGGGGCTGGCCCGGTGGCACACTCGGTAGAGTGCGGCGCTTGGGAGCGCGGCAGCGCTCCTGCCGAGGGTTCGGATCCCATATAGAGACCGGTCCGCTCACTGGTTGAGTGTGGTGCGGGCGCGACACTGAGGGTTGCGATCCCATTACCGGTCACGAAAAAAGACAAAAAGGAAAAAAAATAAAGCTCATGACATATGCATTAAAAATTTTTTTTTAATGTAAAATATTCCTTTTACATTTAAAAATTCCATTATCTTTAAAACCTTAAATGATTGGTCTCAAAATCATGTTGCAACTTAACTGGCACCATGAAACTGTGTTCTGTTGACAGACATGAAAAGGCAAAGTATTAACATCTATACAACAAAAGGAAAGACAGCCTTTATCCTATGTTTTGTCTCGTATTTACAATTTTGCCCAATTTCTCTGCAG